TCTGGACCTGACAACATTCCACCCAAAATACTTGAAGAATGTATCGAAAAATTGCTAGAACCTCTCGTTGCTATCTTCAATCTAATTTTCAAAAGTGGAACGTTCCCCAATATTTGGAAATATTCACGCATATGTCCCATTTTTAAATCTGGAATATCCACCGAAATTACAAATTATAGGCCGAGTTATAGGCCCATCGCTCTGATTTCTGCCCTTTCAAAATTATTTGAAATCCTTGTGGCCGACCTGATGTATGCACATACATACTCGGCATCTGATTTCCTAAAACCAACATGGTTTCATGAAAGGCCGTAGTACATCGACAAACCTTTGCATATTTACTGAATTTGTCTCGGACGCCCTCGATTCAAGATCGCAAGTAGATGTAATCTACAACTAAATAGTATAACATATGGGGTTATTCGAAACAGCCTTTTTGTTGTTAATATTTTTCAAATTGGTAGCATTTTTCAGAAAAATTGAACAACTTTTGAACCATCAACAATTTGATAACCACAAAACAAAACAAAACAGGAAATAAAAAATGCTCATAGGGTTTATCTGCAACAAATCGAAAACAGCATATCTAGTGACTCTCAAAATTTTTGGTCATATGTTGCAAAAAATAAATCAACCTCAAGTTCTTCCACCGAAACCATGGTGTACAGGGGGGAAACAATAAAGGGACATCAGAATATTGCAGAAGCTTTTGCAGATAATTTCTTGAACGTATATTCAAAAAATCAAGCGGACTATAACACAGAAAATCTTGAGGGATTTTTTTTAACGAACTCCTTTTAGGATATTGATTCTGTAAATGATGAACATATCCTAAGAGCCGCAAAAAAACTGAAGCCAAAAAAATCTTGTGGTCCAGATATGATACCCCCTTATTTAGTTAAAGGATGAATATCTTGAGGGATTTTTTTTAACGAACTCCTTTTTAGATATTGATTCTGTAAATGATGAAGATATCCTAAGAGCCGCAAAAAAACTGAAGCCAAAAAAATCTTGTGGTCCAGATATGATACCCCCTTATTTAGTTAAAGGATGCATACAACTCTTGATCAAGCCCCTCAAAATAATATATAATTTAATTTTACAAACTACCCAGTAAACACAACACGTTTCAGAAACATTTCAAAAGTTCCCTAATACGTGTCATCTGAAACATTCCAATGTTAACATAAAGGAAACATTTCTGGAGTTCTCCATGCTATGTGAAATATTTCAGAAATATTTCAGAAATATGTCAATACATACGTCTCATATTCGTTACAAAAACTCTTTGCTTGGAATGTCTCACGTGAATCTCTAGATGTGTCATCTGAAACATTCCAATGTTAACATGAAGAAAACATTTCTGAAGCTCTCCATGCTATGTGAAATATTTCAGAAATATGTCAATACATACGTTTCACATTCGTTACAAAAAATCTCTGCTTGAAATGTCTCGCGTGAATCTCTAGACGCGTCCTCTGAAACATTTCAATGTTAACATAAAGGAAAAATTTCAGAAGCTCTCCATACTATGTGAAATATTTCAGAAATATGTCACTACATACGTTTCATATTCGTTACAAAAATTCTCTGCTTGAAATGTCTCACGTGAATCTCTAGACGTGTCATCTGAAACATCGCCATGTTTACGTATGTGAAATATTTCTCAGTTGTTATGCGTGACGTGAAACATCTCTGGAATGTTTCAATACATGTGTTTACTATTTGTTTGAAATGCATCATATTCGACGTTGCCAGGTTCATGATTCCGTTTTATTGGCTATAATGAATCACATGCTTGAGTGTGACCAATGAAGACGGGTGGTTACTCTGGCAACATCGGCATATGACAGTCCGAACCAAGCACGGCCGGCTCCGACTTGCTCCGACTGTCAAGTCCGAGAAGAGAGTGGGTGAACACAAAGACGAAGCCATTCTTTCTTTTGTTGTTCTAATTCCGGTGAAGCCATTTTTAGCGTCCATTGATATTGCCTGATGGTGGTAGTGCTAATGTTAAAAGTTAATAATGACAACTACGAATATGAAAAAGGTGAGTGGGTTTACCTGTACATTCACTTAATATTCGATGCTTGATTGAATGGAATGAAAATCGGCCAAAAATTGAATACATAGAAGGTAGGGCGGTAGTGGCAAAAATAACCTCAACTTTTTTGTACATTGTTATGCTGGTCTCTTGATGTAAAAATATGAAATTTCAGGTAATTTTGCATAGAAAGGCGGTTCAAATTCAATAAATTCAAATAAATCTCAAAATTTTTTTCAGGTGCTGTCAGAAACAGGTTTGCTGTGACGGACGTGGAGTTCGAAAGATATGTAGCAGCCTGGTTCCGCCAATCTGGTCTCAGGTTAGCTAGAGAAAGGGAAAATATGAAATGAAATGGTTTTTTATTATAATTTAATGAGTTTTCATAATATAAAATCCACAAAAGCTGCAGTTTTATTTTAGTCACCTTGCTTTTTTCTCTCCATATACCTATATTAATACCAATTGACTACATTACACATGATGTTAATTAGGGTTCACTTTCATTATGAGTAAGTGATTAACTTCTGTGGTAATGTAGTTTTGGTATGAACTAAAAATGGATTAATATTTGAAATGTTCCTTTATCAGCAAAAGTGAGATGTATCGGAAATGTTTCAAAAAAGTCATGTTCGAAATGTTGCAAATAGTGCTATAAGGAAATGTTTCGAAGACACTGTTTGTGAAACGTTTCATGAAATGCAATAGTGAAATATCTCAGAGATGTTTATGTATACTCTTTATTGAATGTTTCATGGAGATTTGGGTAGAAACATACCAATGAAACATTACACACCCTAGGTCATTTATGGTCTCTAGAATGTCTCATAAATGTTTCGGAGTATATAGGTGAAATGTTTCATATTTCACAAAGTTTGTTTCAGGAACGTTTCAGAAACACAAAATGGTTTACTGGGTAATACTTATCCTACACTATGGAAATGCTCAAAAGTTTGCCCAATATTTAAAAAAGGCATAAGCGAAGACATACAAAACTATCGACCAGTAGCACTGATTTGTGCGCCCATCAGTAAGATCTTCGAATCGATCATTCATGAAAAAATTTTAAATCACGTTTATCCATGTCTAAGCAAAAAGCAACATGGTTTCTTACCTAAGAGGTCCACGATAACCAACCTAACATGTTTTGTACAAGAGGCAAATCGAACTGTCGAAAATAATAACCAACTAGATGTTATTTTCACAGATTTTAGCAAAGCCTTTGACAAGGTTGATCACGAGGTTATGTTAAAAAACTATACACTTTTGGGCTTTCAGATCGACTATTGAAGCTGTCAGCATCGTATCTTATAAACAGGAAGCAGTATGTAGTTTATAAAGGAGGGGAGTCAGGGGATTTTTCACAAGATCTGGTGTACCCCAAGGGTCCAATCTAGGACCCTTATTCTTTTTATTACTAATAGATGATCTGCCACAGGTAGTTCAGGACTCGCAATGTGCATTATTCGCGGATGATTTTAAATTATTCAAGGAAATCAAAAGTCAAGAAGATGCGATTCTGCTACAAAATGACGTAGATAGAGTTTATTTTATTTATTATTTATTTATTTACGAGTGGTCCCTGGCAAATCGCCTCTCATTTAATGTTGACAAATGCTTCAATATGACAATTACTAGAAGAAAAAAAAGCGAAATGACTCTCGCAATATAAGATAAATAATAAATATTTAGCCAAGAAGAGTGAATGTAAGGATTTGGGAATTATGCTGGATGAAAAACTCAACTTTGAGCAACATGTGACCAACATTGTGAATAGAGCATATAGAATGCTTGGATTCATTATTAGGAACTCATTTAAATTCACAAAAATATCCACGTTAGTAACACTCTATAATGCATTTGTACGTAGTATTCTGGAATATGGTGCCATAATATGGTCTCCCTATTATTCAGTTCATAAAAATGAAATTGAAAAGGTACAGAAAAAATTCTCAAGATTTCTGTATTACAAAAAGCATGGTGAATATATTTTCAATCTCAGTTATCATACTTCCTTGAATGAATTTAAATTCACAACTTTAGAATTTAGAAGAAAAGTTGCTACTATAGTATTTTTCTTTAAACTACTGCATATTTGCCTAAACTGCAGTACATATTTCAATAATAGAAGAAGAGATATATTATTTGTTTTGCCTAAACCTCGAACCAACCTAGGTTTAAATTCCCCACTATACAATATGTGTTCTCTTGCAAATTGTTTGAGGAATATATATTTCTATGTTAAATGCAATGAAAAAACATTCAGAAAAAAAATTGAAATTGAGATATCATCTTTAAAAGTAAATGAGAATTGTAACTGAAAGCCAATTTAAATGAAAAAGGTCCATTTGTCAATTTCAACTAAATATGTCTCTCAATTTGATTGTGATTCAGGTCATTTGGAGTTGATTTAGTTTAGGGCATCGTATTATTTTGAGAATGGTGATTTACTTAGTTTTAATATTGTAATCGATTATTGGAACTGTCTGTTCTGTAGATTACTTAAGAAATAAAATAAAAAAAAATAAAAAAACATACTGCTAGTTTGATTGCAAATGACCGTCCCTACCACCCCAGTTCTTTTGATCCATGACTTATGGGACACCCTGTATATCTATTTTTTCATGTTCATAATATATCTGGGATTATTCCTCTTTGATATAATCCATATTCTTACTTATTATTTTGGGAGTGGCTGGCTCTCCTAAGGATGAGTATGGATATAATCATGCAATACAGATTGTTATCCATATCCTCTGAATTTACTATAGAAATGACTCATTTTCCCATTGTCTTGCTAAGTTGATGAAGTATTCTAATTAAATAAATTCATCATCAGTTTCGAATTCACCTACAAATTCTAAATTACAGAATTAGTCATGTTATCAGACATTGTATATTTTGTCATGGATCTCCATTTTGTCATTGAACTTTGCAATCCAAATAAAACAAAATCTAAGTCATAACACATTATTATTTATTGATTATAATTTTCTAAATTAATTCATCATCTATCTACATGTAAAAAAAATAAGTAACATTCAGAATTTCTAGTGTACATTAAATAGGACACATTCTTCATCAAACACTGTATGATTTTTTTTGTTGGCATTTTCAGGAACAGCTATAGTCAGAGGAATGTTGTATCTAGAATGGCAAATAGTGACTTATTCATCACTATACTGTGTGGATCACAAACTCTCATATGGTTGACGAGAAATCACATTGGAGCTGTACTGGGTGTACTGTTGGTACTGAGGATGAAAATTGTGAATAGCATCTGTCATGATGTCCTTGGGATTCATAGTCTCCTTGAGACTGCTAGATATGCTCTGCATTGTCACAGACCTTCCTCTAGAATCGGTAATACAACCATGAGCATATATTCTGTAGGGGAAAGCATATCTCAGAGATACAGCAGCAACAAACATCTCTATGCATATCAAGAAGTTTTGGTATCCAGCAGACACAGTTCCACTAGTGCGTGTACCATTGCTATCTATTATTGGTGAAATTACTTCTGCTTTTTCTAAAATTGCAAGACCAACTCCTTGCCAAAATGACAAAAAAATAACAGATTTGACTGTGAAAAACTTCAGTACAGGTTCATAGGGTGTCAGAAGGTCACGAGTGGCAACATAGAATGAAAATAATCCATACAAGGCCAGGGATACAGAAATATTGTAAATAATTGTGATGTAGAGATAGCCACCATCTGGGCTCCAATCACCATCTCTATAGTGTCCAAAAGCTTGCAAGAAGATAATAATAAATGCCATTATTGGTTTCACCAAGCAAAACTGCAGAGTTGCTTGCTTGCAAAATCTCAGAAATCCAATAGTGTAGGTTTTTCCACTCAAGCAACAGGTGCCATACAAACAGCTGCTTCTTATTGGTTTTTCCCTGATCTCAGACATTATATTACTTTCACCACCAAGATACTCATAACAGAGAGACAAGAAATTGTATATAACAAATGCTTCATAACAGTCACGTATTGTGAAGAAATATACATAGTAGCTCTCAGAGTTGAAGAATAATAGACTCACCCAAGAGTGAGTAGCATAAATAGGTACAATAAATAATATTCTTACAATCCATCGTTGCTCAGCAGGATTCGTATACCATCTTAGATGATGGTAGATTTGTGTACATGTTAGGAAGAGTGCTGCCCATACAAACAGTCCAGTGATGGTCTGACACAGCTTGGTCTGCAGGAATATCGGATCAGATGAAAGAGTATTGTCCTGGATAATCGTTAAAGGGCTCGACGATGAATCGTTCAATAGTGATGCAGGAGTAGCGGAACTAGTAACTGTGTTATCCACCATCCTCGATGACATATGCTTTGTTTATAGTTTATCTGGGCGAGGAAGTTATTGATCTGATCATCCGTTGACTGGGGGTTTTCGAAATCCAACTACATTACTAACATGTTCAAAGCAATGACTGTTGTAACAATAAACAGTACAACTGATAGTTTTCGCAGTATATGGGTATTGATCTGAATACCAAAATAAAATTTTCTTTTTCGCAATCGCAACTTTCTACAAATGAGCTCGGCTCGGAGCACGGAGCAACAGCACAAAATAACAAAATCAGAAAATCAGAAATCACAAAAACATTAGAATGAAAATCGAACAAAACAAACGTCAATTGATTGACAGACAATTGATAGGTCCTTTTATCTTCCACATTTCCACACCCAATGACGGCTAAATATCTAGACAGTCTGGCGGGTTATACCGTCAGACAGTCTAGGTATTTAGCCGTCATTGCCACACTAGTCCACCAGTGTAGTTTATTTACTCCGATATATCCCTCAGTGCGCACCAGATCTACCAATAGAATTCACTATTTGATTCGCACATGTCAAACAAAAAGAATCATAACCTAAACTTTATTTGCGGTTTTCGAAAATTTCATATTTCTCACGTTTTCATTGAATTATTTAATTAAAAATTACTTTTTTTATGAACATACAATAATGTCTGACGACGATATGGATGTCGCAAACGTTGACGAATGTGAAAATGATGAACAAATGGTAGATAGTGCTGATAGGAATGAAAATGAATCCAATCAACCTGGACCTGCTGATCAATCAAATGAAGTCTATCTACCAGGCCGGCCCTTAGATGAAGGTGAAGAACTTGTCTGTGATCAGAGTGCATATGTTATGTACCATCAGGCCCAAACAAGTGCACCTTGCTTGAGTTTTGATATAATTAAAGATGGTTTGGGTGATAACAGAGAAAGTTATCCCATGACTGCATTTATTGTGGCTGGTACACAAGCACCTCAAGCTCATACGAATCATGTTATTGTTATGAAGTTATCCAATTTACATAAAACAAACAATGAACCTGAAAATGAAGATTCTGATGAAGAGGATTCTGACAATAACCCCAAAATGGCAGGTGCATTGATAAAACATCAAGGATGTGTTAATAGGGTCAGGGTAAGTAATTTATTCTCCATTTTTATATGAACATGTGTTAGCTATTGGCCATGAAAAGTAATTTTCATTCTATCAGGCAACTACCCTCAATAGTTCAATTGTGGCTGCTTCCTGGAGTGAATTAGGGAGAGTGAACATTTGGGACTTGTCTCTACAACTACGTACTGTAGAAGATGATCAGTTGCTGTCAAAATACAATAAAGAAAACAAGGCAAACTCTATAACCCCACTTTTCACATTCAGTGGACACCAAAAGGAAGGATTTGCTTTAGACTGGAGTCCTGCAATGCCAGGAGTAAGCTATTTTTTGTATATTCATGCACAATACGGTTTAACCCTCAACTGGTATAATGTTTTTGCAAAACAACTGGTATCTTGGGGTATTTCAACAGTTTCAACATCCCATTTTATATTAGGTAATAAATACATAAAAATCTCATGACCCTTCAAAAAAAGTTGCTATTTTGTGAAAATATCTGATCATGATAACTATGAACCATGAAAAAACTCCATTCATATTTGAATCAATAGAAAGATAATTATTTGATATGATTCTAGTATAGTTTAATACTATTATTATCATACTCAGATGAAATTGTAGCCTTGTGATGTTGTAGAACATTAGAATTCTTGAAAAAGGGTTATGAATAAAAAATCATACAAATTGTACATAGTACCTAAAACATAAAAATATATTATTGAAATGTGCTCACTCAACTGTCACTGTTTTTGTCTAGCATATCATTGATCTCAGTTATGTTCCTTATGGTTTATCAAATATATTTATATTCATATCTTATTTTCTCATACCAAGTGATTGGTGGAGAAAACACACATTTTTCCATCATCTTGTAAACCATATGGTGTTCAAAATAATTATTGTTTCAAGGCATCATATTAGGAAATTATAATAATGGTTGACCGTGGTTGACATTGGTTGTTTCAAATCTAATAATGTATTATACCCCATATCAGATTTGTACAAGTATCTTAACATGCATACCAAATTATTAGTTTCTAGAAAAACTTTTTTATGTTGATGTTACATAATATAATGTAATGTTGAATGTTGAAAAATTGTAAATTGTGATTGATAGATAAAATATATGAATTGAGTACTGCAGGAGAGCTAAATAAAAATCCATATTCTTTGGAGGTTGTAAAAATCATTTGAAATGTCCTATAAGAAGTAGTTTCTATGGCATGCTTGTTCTTCAGAGCTCACCCAGGGGCAAACAACTCTTCAAATATGGTGAACACCCTGAGTTTTTAAGTACATGATTACTTTTCTAAATCTTTTCATTATTTTAATTATTTGTAAATTACCATTTCAGTATCTTCAGTATCTCCGATTATTTATTAAATATTTTCATTACCTTTTCAGTATTCTAATTAGTTTTTGAGTATTTTGAATACCTTCTAAGTAAACTTTAATTACTTTTCAAATATTTCAATCACTTTCAGAATATTTCAATTATTTTTTCAGTACAGTAATTCTATTTTTCATTACATCATATACTTTTGAAGTCTCCGGACATCATTTTTAAGTTCATATTGAGGAGACCCAGGCACAGACCCAGGGTTGTTCACATTTCTCGTCTGCCTAATTTCGCGATAGCATCGTTAATCTACGGCGATAGTAACTGAGTGAATCCCGATGAGCACAAGAAAATTCGAAACGGTGTGTTTGAGTTTTTGTGTAGACAGGAAGTGGACTCTCTGAACTGGCTTACCGGTTACTAGTCTCTATTACAGACATTACAGTAGTGGTTTGCAGTGCGCAATAAATTCCAGCGCATTTTCTTCCATAGAGAAAGGAAACAATTTCTTGGGAATTTCAAAAATTCAGTTTTCAAAAAATTCCGTTTTCTAATAATTTCGTTACTACAGGTGTTTCTTCGCTGATGAATATTTATCTAAATCAACTCTTAAATACTGATGTAAAAAAATGAAATCTATTTTATACAGCCTGCCTCTTTAAACGCCCTGCTCTATATCTCAGCTATTATAGTCGTGCGATTCCGATATGAATAACCATCAATATGATCAGTTTTTCAGTGACTAACAGCCTTTTGGACAGTGCCCTCCTTTTTTATTGAAATATAATGGGGTCGTTTCTTATGATATCATTTTAGGATTTTTTTTGCAAGAAAACTAACTTCATAATATTGTTCGTCATGCTTTCAACCCTCCATATGCACAAAATTACCTCATTCCGAATTAACGGAATTGGGTTAATTTTTTTTTATTTTCGGCATCGAAAAAATAGTTAATTGATGATATTAACTGCAAATTTTGGAACGTTCAATAGCTCCGGTAGATAGAAAATAATGATTTGAAAGAAAAATAAAGATATACTATTTTATGTTGAACTCCGAGTTTCCTTCATTATATACTTCAAATTACTTCATAATATCATTAGATTCTTTTCAATTCCATTCAAAGTATCTTGAATATTAAGTTTTCTGATCAAATATTACTCTTCAGTACTTCTGAATTATTACATTAATTCCTTTGAAATATTTTCTAAATATCTTCATTACTTACAAATATCACATACTTTAAATATGGTGTACACTTTTATGAAGAGTTGTTTGCCCCTGGGAGCTCACTATTGATGCCAGAAAAAAAGAGTCACTCGATGGTGAAAAAACTGATGGGCATAATTTTCACACCATAATCAACCTTTATTTTCAAAACTGTTTGATTTTTGGGAAAAAAGATTTTTGCAAAAAAATCTCTTGATTTCCTTGATATCATGAACATAGGAGAATACCTGAAACAACAAATCACTAAGTTACTTGAGAGTATGTTATTATCACAAAATCATCACTAGTGGGGTACTGAAACACCCCATGACACCAGCTGAGGGTTAAAATTACTGATGATGATTTCATTTTTCTCTGATTCCTTATAAATCCAGATAATCTAATAGGTTCTAGCTACAGGTGACTGTAAAAGAGACATTCATATTTGGCGACCAGCTGAAGCAGCTAGTTGGACAGTGGACCAGAGACCCTTACTAGGCCACACAGATTCTGTGGAAGAGATCCAGTGGTCACCAAATGAAAGAAACGTCCTAGCATCTTGTTCAGTAGATAGAAGCATCAGAATATGGGATACTAGAGCCCAACCTAGTAAGGCATGTATGCTTGCTGCAGAAAATGCTCATCAAACTGATGTCAATGTGATAAATTGGAACAAGAATGAACCCTTTATTGTGAGCGGAGGTGATGATGGATTTTTGCATGTATGGGATTTGAGGAAGTTCCAAACCAAAACACCCCTGGCTACTTTCAAGCATCATACAGAATCAGTTGTATCTGTGGAGTGGCATCAAACGGATTCTGCCGTGTTTGCTTCAGCTGGCTCTGATAACCAGATAGCCCTGTGGGATTTGTCAGTAGAGAAAGATACAGAAGAAGGAAGTGAAGATGTAGAGGTGCGACTTTGATTAGATACTGTGATCTCATATCTAAATGCAAATTTTTCAGGGTCTGCCACCACAGTTATTGTTCATTCATCAAGGCCAAAATAATATCAAGGAGCTGCATTGGCATCCTCAACTACCAGGTGTTATCATCAGCACTGCAGAGAGTGGTTTTAATATATTCAGGACAATAAGTGTGTAAATTCAGTATATTAAAAAATATTGGAAATACAAAAATAAAAAAGATAACAAATAATAAAAATAAATCACACTTGAGTTTTTGTCACAATTTATCAAGTGCTAGGCTATATTTGAAAGTGGTTTGTCTAGAACTGAAATATTTGTACTGACAGTACTTACTTATAAAAATTTGGGGAAAGTCCAAGAATCCAGATTATAAAGTTTTTCCTTTTCATCAGTCAATCTAGTCAATCAAAATGTGGAAGTATCACCAAAATACTACAAAAATATTTCTTTTTTGCTAACTTTATACTATAAAGGTTATTGCGAAATTCAACCAACAACTCTTTACAGGTGATGAAAAAAAGGATAGAAACCCAAGGCCCTCAAGTGGATAGTTTTAGAAATACAAGTTGTTGAAGCTGAAAAATTAGAATCGATGTTTAGGAATGACTCAAAAACGGCTGAATTTTCTCAATCGATTTTGGTTTAAGATTCATATTTCAAAATCCTCATTTAGGTAACTTTGGTTATTTCATCCAGTGACAGGTTACAGGGAGTTTTTATGCCATGCCATTCGAATTTCCAGTTTTTTGTTGAAAATATGCAAAATCTTCGGCAAAGCTAAAATTAACAGTTTTCAAAATATTTGACCCATTATAAATATTTTTGCTTTCTCTATGAAATAACTATTTTTGTTCAGCTATATGATTAAAACTAAAAAGCATCTAACCCACTCACCAAAAAATCTAATATTGAAAGTTATGAGAAATGCCTATGCAATCTTCTATTTAGGTCGAATATTTCAAGAAAAATGAACAGCAAATTCGGTTCATTGAAACTAATTAATATTTTATCAGTGGCTAGGGAATTTGCAAGAAAAATTTACCATAATCACCAGTAGCTGCACAGGTTCCGAAATAACTTTCTGGCCAAACATTGACTGATAAATACCTACAATTATTATACCTTGTTCTTCTGTGTGTATAATTCAACTGGCCATCGACCTTAGGAGATGTCCCTCAGCCCATGTGTGTTCTGTGTAGGCTTTGTTACTGACTCCATACGTCACCTTAGGGGCAGCACTGCCAATTGTGAGCCAATCGGAACGCAACGTGCGGAAACAGAACTTTGGAAATCATCTCATTATTAATCAAAAAGTCTCTACCGGGGAATCTATCTCGAGACTCATAGCTGACACTGATCTATCTGAAGATGCACCGAATTGCAATGCAAAAAATGCAACTGTTTTTAAGTCACTGTGGCCCTTGGCCTAACTATTGTCGGAGACATCGGTCAGACGAGAATACAAGCAGGGTGGAGTGTTTAGACAAAAAAAACACTGAAAAGGACAATTTCAATTTCTCAACTTTCCCTGTATCTCAAAAACGGAAAACCATAGACCTAATAAAATCAAGGGGGCTACCATCTGACCATCTGTGAAGCGTTGTCTGGCGAATTTCGCAACACCATGTATATACAGGGTATATCAGAGTTGAAGTTGCAAAAGCCTAGGGAAGATACCATTCAGCAAAATATGTAAAATAAAGGGTCTTTCAACAAGGACCGGTCGATGTTGACAGTGTGTGGCGGCCATGTTTTTGTGGGGGCATCTGTCAAATCTGTATTATTCTATTCAGTCACTGATGTTAAATTACCATGGCAAGTTACACGATCGAGCAGCATGTCCAAATGATTGAACTTTATTATCAAAATGAGGCAGACGCCGTTGCCCTTCAAAGTCGACTCTCTAAAGTTTGGTAGCCAAATTTGAGACAACCGGTTCGGTAAACACACAACCAACACCCTTACGTCAAAGGAACGCCAGATCGGCCGATAATATCGACGCTGTCCGTCAGAGTGTGCAGAAGACTCCGAGGCAGTCGATTTCTTGCCATGCACAAGAACTAAGCCTTTCGCAGACTTCAACTTGGAGAATTTTGCGCCGGGACTTGGGCCTGCACCCGTACAAGATCCAACTGACCCAGCAGCTCAAAGTTAAAGACCATAGGCAACGCCGTTTGTTCGCTCAGTGGGCTTCGGAACGTTTGGAAGACGACCCCGATTTTGGCCGAAAATAATCTTTAGCGACGAGGCCCATTTTTGGATGGTTTTGTTAAAAAGCAAAATTGCCGTATATGGGATGAACACAACCCACAGGAGGTTCACCAGGTGGCAATGCATCCACAAAGAGTTACTGTTTGGTGTGGATTTTGGTCCGGCGGCGTCATTGGTCCGTACTTCTTTGAAAATGACATTGGCGAGGCCATCACCGTCAATGGCGAGCGCTACAGATCAATGATTAACAATTTCTTTTGGCCTGAATTGAACGATATGAACGTGGACGACATGTGGTTCCAACAAGACGGCGCAACGTGCCACACAGCGAACGATACAATGGACATTCTGCACGAACGGTTTGAGGGTAGGGTTATCTCTCGCAGAGGTGATGTGAATTGGCCGCCAAGATCGTGCGATTTGACTCCACTAGACTTTTTCTTGTGGGGTTTTCTGAAGTCGCAGGTCTATGTTAATAAGCCGCAATCGACCGATGCCCTGAGAGTGAACATGACGCAAGCCATTGCTCAGATTCAGCCGGATTTATGCAGCAGAGTCATTGAAAATTGGACCTTTCGGATCCGTGCCATTCGAAGCCGCGGCGGACATTTGAACAATGTCATATTCCATAAATAATGGCATAAATGGGCCATTCAAATAAAATAAAAAAATCGTTAATATCTCACACACAGCTTGTTTCATTCAATTACAACATCGACCGGTCCTTGTTGAAAGACCCTTAGTTCTTATGAACATGGGTCTAGAAATGTTTTGTAAGGTGTTGAGTTTGAGCATCAGTTTAGGGGAAAAATTGATTTAATCTTTGGAAGAAGTCAATGGTAACTCAAAGTGGAATGGTGTAGTTCATAAATGGAGATGACTTTGGGTTTGATTTATTATCAATAGCTTTAGAATAATTCAGCCGATTTCAAAGACATCTCTACTGGACCAGCTAGATTTATTTCAGGCCTAGGCTTATGTCAGTTCAACTCTGGAATAGCCAGTTTGTAAATCGAAATATTCAGTACTGACATGACATTTCTGAATATAACCTAGCTCTACCATTTGGCATGAAAATAATATGTATATAATATAATTGAATAAACCGTTAGTCTTGGGGTTTCAGCAGATCTAAGTTTATTAAGTGCCTCATAGTTGGTCTGCCATGTGGGCAATTCTGAAAAAAAAAATCATTATTTTATTGGGGTATTATATTCTTCACTCATTATAATATAGATCAAAAACTAACTTTCAGAATCGTCAAACAGGAGAATCATTTGAAAGTTACTTACCCATGGTTGTTCAATTTCTCCCATGTGGTCTACTAATCGTCTCATGTCTGATTTGGTCAGCGTTTGACCAATCATCACCGATTTTCTACAAGCTCTGGAAGCAAACATTGATCGTACCCTAGATGGTCTACACATAGTCTGGCTCGAATCCTAGAAAAAAAATGTAATTTTCAATGTTGCAAATAATGGTGGGACAAATAGAATACCTCACTAGTATTTCATCGTTTATTAATATAGAAATCATTTTTTCCACCACTAGCCCTAGAATCTACCATAACTTACTCCTTTCATGTTGTGAACTGTTATTTCACTACCAAGGTAGTTTTTTCATTACATCAACTAGTGATTAATCCTATTATTATTATTATTATTATTATTATTATTATTATTATTATTATTATTATTATTATTATTATACTTGCGGTTTTTGGAGTATAATAATACCATATATCTATAATCTTTGGAAGAAGTCCATGGTAACTCAAAGTGGAGTGGTGTAGTTCATAAAATAACTTTGAACTATTTTATCGGCTGATGATGGGCTTATATAAGCCCGAACATGTACCATTGATGATCTTTGATCATTTATTTTCAATGAAAGTTGTGGAGATGACTTTGGGTTTTTCATCTATATCATTTCCTTAGGAAATAATGACGAAGGGTTAATAATCCTTATTCCCTCTTGCACTTCATTGATTCCCAAGAGAATAATATCAATAGCAATATACAGCAAAAATCAAGTATAATGCTCAAATTATAAAGGGTGTTTCAAAATCCAGTATCAAGATTTCAGGGTCTTATTTTTCAGTATACAGCTTCTATATTTTTGTAATGTATTGATTGATTTTCAAACTTTCCAAAATTAATAATCTGTGTTTTCCCTAAATTCAAAAAGAGGTTGTTATTATGAAACAATTCGTCTAGTTTATAGTTATTGTGCTCTCTATTTTATTTTTACATAATTCATGTGTTTGTTCACTGCTGTCATCTGCATACATTATCACAATCATTTTTTCATCAGCGATCAGTGGCAACTCATTCGTATACAACGCTATAGATTGGTAACGAAGCGTTTACGGACACATTCATGTTCATAGGAAATAAAAGTCTTATACTGACCTGAAAATTAAGTTCCTGAAATCTGATACTGAATTTTGAAATACCCTGTATATTCGTCGTAAATAATTAATAGATTATATCACGAGTCAATAAGTCCGCAAGGAATAATGGCCACTTTGACCAGGATAATAGTCATTATTACCCCCTCTTGCACTTCAATCATTATTCCTGCCATGAATAATGGCTGCAGATTTCTACCGTCATCGGATAACGAAATGTTATATGTCCCAAAGGAAAGTGAAAACATTGTAATTCATCTAATGGTACCTGTGCCAATCACTATCCTGAGCAAAATGATAAAAAAAATTGCACTTTTTTGTGCGGAAATTTGCACTTGATTTCGCGATTTGATAGCGAGATGAGAATTGTGACATCCGATACCAATTGAATGGTAGATCTCGAAAACCTACCTGTGCCACCTCTCAGCCTGAGCCAAATCTACGGCACAGCGATTTATTTGCTCCTATTATGCCGGACAAACTTCCGTCATGTGATACCGATTTGAAAAAAAAGCAAATGAAAGGGAAAAATGTCCCTTCTGCGAATATCCAAACGTTCCGCGATTCAAACTGATCTGAGTTAGTGGCAGACCTCCAATATTTCCGTGAATATTTCGTCCTCGTCGAAAGATAATATCCGATGGACCAGTATGAAACTCATGTGGTACTCACACTACAAGTATTCTAATCCACATGTTGAGTTTTACACTGGTCCATCGGATGTTATCTTTGAAGGGCGAAATATTCTCGGAAGTTTTGACGCTCTGCCACTAACATAGATCAGTGTGAATCGCGGCAGGCCGTGTCTATTCATCGGGGCGCCCCGCCGTATAGGCAATTTTGCTATCCATCGGAGCGAGATGCGCGCATGCTCATATTAGTCATATTCCGCGCCGACGAATAGCATATTTGTCTAAACATCGGGGTGCTCCGACAGATAGGCACATATTCTATTCATCGGGGCGCACCGTCGTTTAGGCACAGTTGCTATTCATCGGTGCGTAACTCATGATGGTTATATGATGGAATGGGCATGAGTACTCTTTTTATCTTTCTTTTATTTGATCCCGAGTTTGTTCCAGACCAGGAAAGAGTTCCTCTTATGAAAAATGAAAACGGTATTGAAGATTGAGTGAAATAAAACACTCAAAAGAACTATTATGAGTATTTATTTGGTTAAAAATGACTGAAATAAACATATCAAATATAATAACATAACATCTAAAAACTGGTTACATTTAAATTATTGTTGAGTCGATTTCTTCTTGGGTCATTTTTTTCACACCGATCACACAAGTTGAGCGAATACCTCTTGGTCTGCCAATTTGTTTCATTTTGCGGTTTCGGTAGTGTATTTGGCATATATGTTATACTGTAGTAAACAAGGTCCTTTTTAATTGCTACAATTTTATTTTTACATTTTTCTCGTAGGGACTCAGCAGATAGTTTTTTCGATAGAACACGGTTAAGTTGAATACAATTTTCGGTCTGAAATTATCCAACAAAAGCAGTAACCCCTTTGTAACTATGAAATTGTCTTCAAAACAATCACTTTTATAATTTACTGCCATATATGCCATTTGATTATAAATATTCAACTGGTTTTTTCAATAAATGTGCAGTTTGTTTCTCGAAGGAAATTTTGTAGGTTATGAATAGGCGCCCCGATGTTTAGACAAATATGCTATTCGTCGGCAAAATTGCCTATACGGCGGGGCGCCCCGATGAATAGACACGGCCATTGCGGCCTGTTTGGATACTCGCAAAGGCGGCATCATCCTCCCGCATTTGCTTCTTGTTTCAACTCGTTATCACATGACGGAAGTATGTCCGGAATAATAGGAACAAATAAATCGCTGTGCCTTGTATTTGGCTCAGACTGAGGGGTGGCTCAGGTAGGTTTTTGAGATCTACCATTCAATTGGTATCGCGAAATCGATTGTGAATTTTCGCACAGGAAAGTGCAATTTTTCAATCATTTCGCTCAGGATAGTGATTGGCACAGGTGCCGTTCGATAAAATACAATGGTTTTACATGCCTTTGGGACATATATCATTTCGTTATCAGATGACGGTTCAATATACTGAAAAAACTACCATGGTGTATGTATGAATAACTATAAATATGGGTGAAGAATTTTTATTCAGCTCAAGAATGTCAATGATTACCTGTAGCATAAATAACATTTCGTCAATATCATCTTTTCCAAATGCATAATTTCTGCTCACAGGAATGGCCGTCAACATTACTTTTTTTGTATAGGGTGCTGCAGAACAAAAACCAAATCAATTGATATTATACCATTATTGTCAATATAAAAAATGGAAAAAATGCATTTTTTTAGGCATCGAAAAATATACAGTGTTCTTAATTTTGGTTAAAATCCCGATCTATGGCTGATGAAGGATATATGCCGGGAGTCCCAACTCCATTCATACACGCATTTTCTCAAAAACTTGTGACACTTTCATTATTCTGAAAAAAACTGCGGCTTACATGAGAAAGTGTGTTGCACAAAAATTAATCATTAAAACTACTCTTCGACAAACCACCCCTTAGCACATACCGCTAACATTTTTTTCAACTACACCTCCTTATCAATTATTATTGCAGTATATTTCAGCTCATTTTTTTCTCTCTTGGAGCGCACAAAAGGCAATTCCTATAATGTTCGAAGAACATCGTGCGTACCTAGGGAATATTTCGAGAGCAGGTAGCTTAAGAACAATGATGTATTACACCCTCCATGAATACGCCCTAAATAATGTCGAATCAACAAATTAATAGCATATTATCATATGAGAAATTTCGTCCACCATTATCATACATCTGAAGGCGACTGAAAATTAATTATTAAAACAATCCCCCAACAAACCATCCATTAGCATACACTCCTTATTTTCTTTTTTTCAAATCACATTCCCTTATTCTTGTGGTATATTTTAATAGTTTGTGATCTCAGGACCACAGTACAGGGTCGGATCCAGGAGGCAGCAAGTCATCTTTTGGAGGGCTGATAGTCCAGCTCATGACTAACCAAAATATCAATAATATGACATCAGTAAAATATTGATAGTTCTGGAGATATTAATACTTATGATTTTCGTGAAAATCGAAACCTTCGATCCGTTCCAGTGTCGGATGTACAAATAAACTTCATAGTTTATGATCCAAATTTTTATTCTGCAACCTGTAATATGGAAATTTCGAACGCAAATACTTCCTAATCAATTGAAATAACCTAATCGAACCCGGTATCCTTGAATTCGTTATAACAATCTATAAACAATTATGGAATAAAATATTAGGGTGTTCCATTTGTAAATCGAATGTTGATGTAATTTCCAGGAAAACCGGAAAATGAAAAAAAAAACCTAAATTGTGAGAAAACGCCCTCTAGTGAGCATATTCAAAATTCCAAATATAGAGATATAGCTGAAAAAAGAGAGAGTATGATACAACATGGAGTTCGTAAGCTAATTAGCTACTCAAACATACTACAATAATAAGGGGGTGTAATTAGAACGAAAAAAGTTAATAATAATTTAGAACATTGTAAGTATTACCCGTTTTCAAGAAAATGCGTGTAAAAAGCTGGGACACTATCAGTATACGTTCAAAACTAAATCCCCTCTCTATTGATGTGATGCTCAAAATAAGATGGAGACTATTTCACTCATCAACATAATTTGACCAATCACAAGCCAGAGACAACATGTGCTTACTGATTGGTCTATCAGCGTTGATGTTTTCAATGATGTAACCATGGATAACAAAGCAAAGTCTGGATGAAAGGTGGTCTGTTTGGTCAGTTTGGAATAAAATAATTATGGCTGTATTTGTCAGAATGAATCACTCATTTAAAATACTGGTACTGGTACTGGTGGGGGACGTTTCCACGTCAGCAACTAGTCCCCAATGGGACCTTTTTGCCAACCCCAAGTGTTTTCAATGACTGATGTGGTTCGCTCAAGAGAGCTGGCTAACATCCTTTTCAGGCACCGCCCCTCAGCTCTCTTTTCAGAGTTTTTCAGCTGTGTTTCGTAGGCTAGTAATGTACTCACTACCATATGCGCAGTGGCAGGCCTGCTAACTATCATCGTTAACCCCCGAGACCGAGGTCTACTTAAGCAGCTGGCCCGCTCTCACGCTCAGCTGGTAGTTTTTCACACCCACTTACATACACCGTCCTACTTCTTCTCTGATGCTCACAACCACATCATCATATCTTTCTGCGTGTTCTGTGTAGGCTTTGTTACTACCTCCATGCGCCACTTTGGGAGCAGCACTGTTAATTGGAACGCAACAGCGAATCGTGCAGGACTATCTCCAGCCGATGCTACGAAACTTTACAATATTTAATTCGTAAATAAAATATTGAAAAAAGTTCCTTGCCCGTGCTGGAAATCGAACCCACGACCTCGCGGTCGTGAGACGGACGCTCTTCCACTGCGCCAATCCCGGCTCTCATTTAAAATAAATGCTGTTTATGCTTTGTGAACATGAAATAGTCTAGCAAAATACCACTCTTGTCTGGATATCTTTTCATAATTCTGAATTTCATTGTCAACTCAATTATGTTGCCGTACAACAGAACATAATTATCTCAAATATTCAGAACATCATGATACTAATTGTAATAAATTTGAGTATTATTTCATTGGGAAACTACAGATTTCTACCGGAGATTAATGCATTCTATTCTTGGGGTACCTACAGTGAGAAAATGAATCATTTCTATGCTATTTTTTAAATTGTTTACTAACCTGTTTCATCTATGCTGAAAGAAAACCCGTTTTTCTTGAATATTTCAATATTGTCAATCAACAAAATCTCGTTCCCAGCAGTTAACTGTAGAGGTTTTGGGCTAAAAGATGCATTAACTATCATTCTAGATATGTAATTGATTCAGCATGGAATAAAGTTTGTCACAGTTATGACACATATGTGTATAGTATGAACTTGCAAAGTACTACAATTATTTTATTCTGAAGATTTTGACATTAAAGGAATATTAGACTGATGATGGTTCAGATTGTTTACACATGAACAAAAGTTCAACTCCTGCTTTTTAGGTCAAAATTGATTTGAAACTCTCTCTATTGACAAAGCTGATGATGGTTCCATTCTTGTTCACAGAATAATCCAAAAGAAACATTTTCAAGAAATTCTTGAACAAAAATTCAAATGTTTTTGCTAGTTAGCTAGTGCATTGATATTGAGCTTATTATTCCATTTTCATAAAATTATACTCACTTCACTAAAACTTGGCTCTCTATTACAGTATTCTGTTGAAGTTGTTCAAAATTGTATTTTTCATCAGTAGCATGCTGATCAACTATAAATAAATCATGTTTTAATCTGGCAATGATGAATCCTAAGTTGAACTGCCCTATTATATCCATTTTTTTGAAATCCTCTTTAAGAAATTGTTTTTGCAATTCTTCTTCAGCTACCTTATTACTTTCAGGTGTAATTTCAGACCTAAATTTAACTTGGATATGGTCATTTGTGTCATCACCAGAATTCAATACCTCTCTAATTTGTTCTAATGATATATTGAATATTACAGATTCATTTTTATATATTTTGTTTTCTTCAGTTTCATCCAATTTTACTTCAAAATCATCATAACTAGTTTTTTGTTCAGTTTCAACATCAATGATATTTTCCTCATTGTCTTCTTTTGATAACTTACAGGCCAATTCTACCAACATTTCCAATTGATGTTCAGCATCCTTTTCCACATCACTATCTGGTGATTTGGTTTGGTATTTATATTTCTTCACTTCATTTTCAGAATTGTTATCTGCTGTTTTGGTATCTGATGATTTTCTTTTAGGTGAAATAACAAAACTTGAGATATCAAAGGATTTAGATTTACTACCCTCTGTTTTTGATCTTTTTTTGAAAGTCTCCAAAATGCTTCCTTTTTTGACAATAGAGGTGTCTGTGAGACTTCTCTTAATTCCTCTATCAGATACTTTATCTGAGTGAAAGTTTTGAGAAACATCTAGATTTTGTAATTTGAAAGTTGAAGGAAATGATTTGAAACACTCTAACAATGATGCTTTAACTGTTCCTAACAATATTTTTTCATTTTCTATATAGATTTGTCTCTTGTCAGGAGTAACATTCACATCAACTTGTAAAGACTTTGTCATAATATTGAGGTAAACAAAAGGATACTGATTTGAATTGAACTGTCTATACACTTCATTAACTAGTTTCATCAATTTTGCAGGTTCACAAGGCCTTGAGTTTATGTAGTAAAATTGTCTATCTGTTGTACTCCTACCACTACCATGAGTTACACTGGATATGAGAAACTCAAAAGAAAATGGAAGGTCACTTTCTTCTGGGGACTTGATTCCAAATTCATTCAAAATCAAATCATCAGGTATGATCTCATGGACATCTATTAGAGCAGATATTTGTTTTGCCCCAAAAATGTTGATAATATTTTCACGAACTGTGTTTTTACCATTAGTAGCTAACACTACACTTTTGGACCCACTACTGGCTATGTTAGTGCAATTAAACTTTATTCCCTTTGAAACCAAGCAGTAGGCATGAAGAAGTTGGCACATTTTGCTGAATTCCCTCTTGAGGTGCTTCATGAATTCTTTTCGCCTGACAGGTAATGTTGAGAACAGTTTCTCCAATGTCACTGTTGTGCCACATTCTCTTGCTAAGGAAACTTGACTTTTCACTTTTCCATTACAATCATAAGTGATTTTTGTAGCAACATTTTGTGAATGATGTCTTGTAGTTATCTCTAGATTAGATAATGCACACAAGGAACTGAGTGCTTCACCTCTAAACCCCAATGTCCCAATATTCTCCAAGTCACTGAAATTACTTATTTTTGATGTAAAATGTTTGAGAGCTGAAATTAAAGATAGTTAAAAAATAAAAAAATGGAATATGCTATTGTGGATAAAATACTTAGAGCTTCAAAGTTATCTGGCAAAACGCCTGACCCATTATCTGAAACTTCCACAAGTTCAGAGCCATATTCTTTCAGGAGTATGTCTATTATGGTAGCACCTGCATCTAGTGAATTTTCTACCAGTTCTTTAATAGCTATTCCTAGACTTAAAACTACCTAAAAATGCAAGATTGAGATAAAAGCATCATTTCTTGATTTGACTCACCTGTCCTGAACAAATTCGATGGACAGTATTTCGATTGATAGCTTTTATAGGTCGCGTGCAAGAACTGTCAGATGACCGACCCTGGAGGCAAAACATATTTGTTTACAAGTGATCGAAATAGTTTTCCACAATTATTTTGGCATATGAATCGTATTTTTTAGCTATTCATCAATTCGCTAATGCCATCACATTGTGCTGTTGTAAAATGCACAAAAACTGCAGCGGAAGATGAAGAAATCCGGATGGTACATTATGATTCAAAAGTAAGTACCTACTATAGTCACTCACATAGTTTTCATTTTTGAAATTTGGTTATTTCTCTGATTTCTCATCGGAATTCCTTCTGCAATAGGATCAGCTAATAGAAATATACCTGAAATTTCTAGAATAATGCAAGAAGATTGGATTCATGCAATCAATCGGTAGGACTGGTCTGACATGCTGATGATCGTGTGTGTTGTAGACATTTTCAATCTATTAGCAGCATTAGCTTGTATTGCAGAAGTGGCAGAAGGCAGAAGGAATTCTAATAAGGAATGACAACATTTCATAATGCTAACTATGTGAGATTACTATTTACCTGAAAAATCATATTCCCTAGTCTCTTGCTGCATTTTTTGTGCATTGTACAACAGCACAATGCGAAGGCATGCTTGAATTGATGAATAACGCAAGAAACACGATTCGTATGCCAAAATATTGTGAAAAACTATTTCAACCTTTTGATTCCTCTGTGAACAAATGAAAAAGTGAGGTTGTGTTTCAATAATTCACAGAAGAGTGAGGTTGTGTTTCAATAATTCACAGAAGAATGAGGTTGTGTTTCAATATTTTGCCTCCAGGGTCGGTCTTCGTGCACGCGACCTATTGAATTAGGTTGCGGATGCTTGGTGCATGTTTGTTGATTCACAGTGTTCTCCATAGCATATTATAGTATGCGAAGAATTATCCCTTTACTATTACACTACATTTTTGAAAAGAAAATATTTTGAATTCGATATTTTAGAACTTGTTTAGAACATAACTACATAACCCAACTTCTACTTCTTCTTAAATTAGAGATCTCTTTTTTTCAGCCTGATCCCTTGTTGTACCACATGTGCTACTCACCATATTCCATAAATTGTCTCTCGCAAGTAATTCAAATAGTAGCATCACTGAACTATACTATACCCTACTCTCTTCATAGTTACAACGCGGAGGTGGCTCGCATCCAAAACCCTGCGAATTACAAGCGTCTAGCTAGACCAGTGAATCTTTCAAACCTCAAGGTTATGGAGAGGTTATTCGTGTTCATAAGACTTAAAAGCGGCGTTCACAACCAAACTTTTTACGTTTTGCTTTTTTCGTTTCGTATTCTGATTGGTGGAGCAAAATGTGTATTTGAAATGACGCAAAAAGCTGAAAATATTCAGCTTTTTGCGTTGCAAGAAGCCATCGTCTGTGAAAATAGTAAAAATAGACGAATAATATGAAACATTCTGTAATAATATGGAAGTTATGATAATGTTTTCATGATTTTTTCGTGAATCCTCAGAATAGTAAATAGGTATACTGTTAAATTCATTATTTTCTTGTTGAAGATTGATTTTTCTCTTCAAGTATTGAAAAAGGATCCATTTTCGTCACCACCAGTTCAATTAATTCAATATTATAAATTATCCGATCAATATTATTGTTATGATTATTTACTTCAACTGAGCCACCATAAAGAGTCACGTTGATTTTTTGTTGTTGTGAATGTCATTTGCATTGGGTTTAGTTCACTTTTAATTTCAGATTCTGCTTCACCAATCAGAATACGAAACGTAAAAAGCAAAACGTAAAAAGTTTGGTTGTGAACGCCGCTTTTATAAGGTAATATGAGGAAGGGAAATATTTCTTCTGTATGAAAAAGGAAAGTATATTTTTGAATAATTAATGGAGTGACGTCACTTGACCTCGATGTTTGAAAGATTCGTTGGTCTAGTTTGATGCTTCTCTGCGAGTCTCCTCTTTCATGCAGAAACGATATTCATAATATTCGCGGTCGTCAAGGTCAATAGACCACGTTCCGATGACATTAATAACTACGGGAAAACATCTCTAACTTTCAATCTAGAGATGTTATCCCGTAGTTATTGGTTTTGAATTCTATCGCAACGTCATTTAATGACCTTGGCGACCGCGAATAACCTTCTGATAACCTTGAGATTTTCCGCAACACGCCAGCATGCTACTGATTAAATGACTGGCGAGAGACGTTTGTCCATATCCCAGCGAAGGAATAGTATGTCTCCTCGCTGCACATTTTACCAACAGATAGTCATTTTAACACAAATAATTTCCGGATATTCAAATTGTTGATAGTAATGATGAGAGATTGATTATTATTATAAATTCTTTCTTTGGAAAAACTTTAAAATTTGATGATGGCAAAAAAAAGCATCCTCACCACATGGATTTTTTGTTGAGAGATTTGTTGTATCATTTCATATATTGACTACTCATATATAAAGCATAGCTGTTATAATAAACTTCAATATTATTTGAGAATGAGATACTCTCCTTCGGATTCAAACTGTAGCTGGTTGCATTGAGTTAGGAGAATTCCATCAAAAACATATTTTATTAAAGTCCACATACATGCATTAGGTACTAGGTATATCTAAACCCTAAACAAAGAAATATACCTAAAAAGTCCCCCGTGAACTCACTAACCGAATCGCGTATGAATGTTCATGAACTACTCACAGCCTTTCAGAATAACCATTAGTCATAAGAGTCAGGTACCAAATCAAAGATCCTCTGTCTGTGCCTCTGTAGTAACAACCTTCCGTGACTGCTCAACTCAAGTGGTTTGACTCCAGCGCTGCCAACAAACTGCTTTGCCCTGTATATCAGGATACTCGAAGATTCTTATGTTAGGTTCTCTCCGTTGAAAAAGATACATGCACTTTTTGAATGCAATCCTTCCCTTTTTCTCTTGTTACAATAACCTCCTGTCATCCCCTTTTCTTCACCTTCTTGATTCCCCATATTTCAATATATAACGAGTGCTCCTATTGCAAGGCGTGTACATTGTAGTTCATAAGGCCTGTATATCGTAGTTCACTTCATTACCCCCCATTAAATTCTGAGACCTTGATGAAGAATTTAAACATATTCTTGAAACACTAAACTCTAAACCATCTAATGATAGAAAATATATAATAAGACTAAGAATCTGAACTACATAAAATCAAGCTCTAATTAGCTCTTTATAAAGTTTTAAATTGATGATATTTTGACGTCCCAGTATGACTCCATCTTTATCAGCAACTTCATAACAATTTGGACCAACCACTTTACTCACTTGGTATGGACCTTCGTAAAGCAAGAATATTTTTTTTATTTCAGAATGCTCGGCAGATGAAATTGGGTGTGTCTTTACTAAAACCCAATCTCCCACTTTGGAAATCAAAGGTGGCTTACTATGTTTATTCATTTTCTTATCTTTTTTTGTGATGAGGTTTCCGTAAGCAATTTCCCACATATCGTTGATATCACTCGAAAACTGAACATCGTTTTCCGGAAAATTCAAAATGGAATGGATATCATTTTTGTCAATAATTCCAAAATGTAAATAACTATAGGTGGATAGCCGGTTATGGAATGCGTTATTCCATTAATGCAGGTTTCGATATCATTTATACGCGATGCCCAAGTTGTGTGTTTATCATGACAGAAAGCTCTCAATAATCGGACAATTTCACGATTGGCTCTCTCGGTAATATTTCCTTGTGGAAAATAAAGGGACGTATATTTGATCTTGACGTTCAATTCTGTCAACGTCTCTTTATATACTGTCTGTAGGTTAATCGAGGAGGTGGTACATAGGTCGCGTGCAAGAACTGTCAGATGACCGACCCTGGAGGCAAAACATATTTGTTTACAAGTGATCGAAATAGTTTTCCACAATTATTTTGGCATATGAATCGTATTTTTCCGCTATTCATCAGTTCGCTAATGCCATCACATTGTGCTGTTGTAAAATGCACAAAAACTGCAGTGGAAGATGAGGAAATCCGGATGGTACATTATGATTCAAAAGTAAGTACCTACTATAGTCACTCACACAGTTCTCATTTTTGAAATTTGATTATTTCTCTGATTTCTCATCGGAATTCCTTCTGCAATAGGATCAGCTAATAGAAATATACCTGAAATTTCTAGGATAATGCAAGAAGATTGGATTCATGCAATCAATCGGTAGGACTGGTCTGACATGCTGACGATCGTGTGTGTTGTAGACATTTTCAATCTATTAGCAGCATTAGCTTGTATTGCAGAAGTGGCAGAAGGCAGAAGGAATTTTAATAAGGCATGACAACATTTCATATTGATAACTATGTGAGATTACTATTTACCTGAAAAATCATATTCCTTAGTCTCTTGCTGCATTTTTTGTGCATCGTACAACAGCACAATGCGAAGGCATGCTTGAATTAATGAATAACGCAAGAAACACGATTGGTATGCCAAAATATTGTGAAAAACTATTTCAACCTTTTGATTCCTCTGTAACCAAACAAAAAAGTGAGGTTGTGTTTCAATAATTCACAGAAGAATGAGGTTGTGTTTCAATAATTCACAGAAGAATGAGGTTGTGTTTCAATATTTTGCCTCCAGGGTCGGTCTTCGTGCACGCGACCTATTCATTTACTCGATTAAACGAACTTACCTAGTGAAGTTCTATCGTAATTACATAAGGCGCCTCGTCCGCAGAGATCACTATGTAGTACCGATTTTCGTGCTACTCCGCCACAAAGTTTAAAGACGAAAAAATCACTGGCTAAGGCCTGTGCATGCAATGGTCTGTATGTCCTCTATCGGTGTCGCCAACTTCACTTCATTCATTTCAAAGTTGGAAAAAACCGGGAACAATAATGGGAATCATCACTTTCTTGATGTCGGATTCCTAGTTCTTTATTTACTCTTTTTCGCAATACGGAATCCGAGGGTGTGGAGGGGAGTGATCTCTGCGGACGAGGCGCCTTATGTAATTACGATAGAACTTCACTAGGTAAGTTCGTTTAATCGAGTAATTACATTTCAGCGCCTCGTCCTTGAGATCACTATGTAGCTGTTCAGAGTTAGAGGTTTTTTCCCCTCACAAATTATGAAGAAACATTCACTTCATAATATAAGGAACTGAAAAAACATTTTTTATTCTTGCATACAAAAGATAGGTTGATACAATATAATTTTGTAACTAGTTTGATACATTATTCATTTAATGATAGCCTTGGCAAAAGATGATGTATCTTTCAACGGGCAGTTGTAAAACCTGGCAAAGACTTCAGAACCAGCAGACCAGCCTGCAGTTCTCCTAATGGTATCTATAGAAATACCGTTTTTATATGCCGCCGATGTGGATGCATGTCGAGTAGAATAGCCAGTAAAAATTTTTGAATCTATTCCTGCCTCTTCAAGGGTAAGTTTGATCCATCTGCTAATGGTGCTTGAACTAGCTGTCAAGTGTGGCTTACGTGTTGATAGAAATAAGAAATCTTGGGACTCGTTTCTTATGGGGATTGTTTTTTCTATGTATGTGGATAGGGCCGATGCTGCACATAACTCTGGTTTATCTATAAAATATGGTAGATGAAGACATGGTTGCTCTCTATTTGCAGCTGTCGTTTTGATGTGGTCTGTAATTAGTATCTGAATTTCATCAGCTAAGAAAATAATATTTTCAATTCTAATGCGGGCTAGGGACTGCAAACGTTGACCTGTTGTGAGAGCCAACAGAGTCACTGTCTTCCTGGTCAATATATCCAAAGGTAAACTGTCATTGGGGTATCTACTACCCAAAAGTACCAAAACTACATGAGGGTCCCAAGTGCTGTTATATCGGCGTTTAGGTGGTCTAAGTCTCAAGATACCTCTCAAAAATCTTTTTATTCTTGCATCTTTGCCTATTTCACCAGGTAGAATCAGCGATAGAGCAGATCTACAAGTATTGAAGGATCCATAGCCAAATTTCCTGCTTTTGAATTGTTCCTCCAAAAATTTGATAAC